CTTAAGTCATGAAATGACAACGTAATGAAATTAAAACATAACAGTTATTTTACATTTTTAAAATCACCTTACGTAAGATACGTTAATTGCAGCTGTTAAGTCTTAAGAAAACTGTGATGATAGGGGTTTGTTTTTTGATTAATACAAAGAAATACTTTAAATTAATTTATGAAACTTCGAGTACCAAGAATGTTGGAGAACTGCGGATAAAGACGAGATGTTATAAAACACGTTTTCATCCCTCAGTAGCACGGATGGGAAACTGACCTTCACACACTTGGTTGGAGTTAGGTGGAGAACAGTATCAAATCCATACGAACGTGGGTGTACATAAAGTAATTTGGTTATTCCATAAGAAACAACTAGATTTAAAAACATAAATTAAATGATATGCTGACAGTCATTTGCACCTTTTATAACATTATATTTATGTAATTTGTTTTGGTGTTATTTTAAACACGTATTAGCTTAATTAATATTTAATGTTTTATTTAAACTACACTATTATTTTTGTGTATATTAGAGATATGTGTTAACAGGAAACCCGCGTAACTTTTAATTATTTGTTGCAATGAGTCATTTTTTGTGTAGCCATATCGTGAAATAATGTGTTTGTACAAACCACAGTTTGTATTCAACTTACAAGAAATCGCCTTAAATAACAAGGTGATGATGCATGTTTGTATGTTTGTCATGAATTTCCCGCAAAACTACACGAGGGCTATCTGCGCTAATTTAGCAGTGAAAGAATAGAGGGAAGGTAGCTTAGTCATCACCATCCACCTCTTGAGCTACTCTTTTACCAATGAATAGTGGGATTGACCGTCACATTATAACGCCTCCAAGGCTGAAAGGGTGAGCATGTTTGATGTGACAGGGATTCGAACCCACAAATTGCGAGTGACCGCTCTAACCTGGCCGGTGATGATGCATTCAGTAATAAGATTCAAGGAAGAAACGGTGATATGTACGACGTTTTTTGTGTATTGATCGACTACATGCGTAACATTATTATTAAGAAATTAAATTGATATTTCGCTAGTGTTTCAAATGAAATTTTCTTTTCTCAAATTTTAAACACACACCAAAGAAAACCCCTTTCCCGTCAGTCAGTTATGATATCTTTGGCTGGATGAAGAGCTTGCAGTCTCCAGTATTGTTTCTCAGAGAGGTAAAAAAGAGCGTAAGCGGGTGGGCTAAATCAGTCTTGTGGTAAAACGATGAAGGATGGTGTGACCTTGAAATGTATTCTCTCTTTACCCTAACAACAGCTGCACGAGGCAGAGAGGAGGTAGAGGCGAAGAAAGTGGTAGCTTGCTCGTGGAGTCTACTGAACCTGATGTACTGTAGATAACACCAGCACGCATGCATGCCCCAAGTGTAAAACACAAGCAAAAAAAATCAAAATTTTCACAAACAGCCCTTGAATCGTAAACGAAATTAAAATGTCTAACTTATTAGAATAATTTTAACAATTGATAATTTCGACTTCAATATAATTTATTGGACTAATTTCAACAATTCATAACACCGACTTCAATATAATTGATTAGACTAATTTCAACAGTTGATAACACCGATTTCACTATAATCTATTAGACCAATTGTTGTTGATGTTTGTTATTAAGCACAAAGCTACACAAAGGGGCTATCTGTGCTCTTCCAACCACGGGTATCGAAACCCGGCTTCTAGCAGTGTAAGTCCGCAGACATACCACTGTGCCACTGGGGGGGGGGGGGGGCGTTAGACTAATTTCAACAGTTGATTACACTAACTTCCACATATTTATCAGACTAATTTCAACAGTTGATTACACTAACTTCCACATATTTATCAGAATAATTTCAACAGTTGATTACACTAACTTCCACATATTTATCAGACTACTTTCAACATTTGATTACACTGACTTCAATATAATTCGTTAGACTAATTTCAACAATAGATAACACCGACTAAAATAAAATTCATTAAATTAATTTCAACGATTGATAATACTGACATGAATATAATTCACTAGACTGATTTTTAACAGTTGATAACACCAAGTTCAATATAATTCATTAGACTAATTTCAACAACTGATAACACCGACTTCAATATAATTCACTAGACTGATTTTTAACAGTTGATTACACCAAATTCAATATAATTCATTAGACTAATTTCAACAACTAACACCGACTTCAATATAATTCATTAGAATGATTTTAATAAATAATATCTCCGTATTTCGTATTAGATTGATTTCAACAAATGATAACTCAGATTTCGACATACTAAAAGAGGAAAGTCACAACATTTACGTAGTTTTGTTGAACGATTTGATCTTGGGGAACAGTCCACTAGGATAGTTGCCTTGCCGAACTAAGCACCTGTGTAGAACTAAGGTTATTTTATACAAATTAAAATAGTGGTCAATATTTATGGTGGCTAAGAGTAGCAGGAACTGTTGATGTTTACTATTTGATGTTATATATAGGGAAGGATAATGTTTATTTAAAACATCAGCAGTTGGAGATTGTGACTCCAACACGATTTTAAGCGGGGATGATCACCAAATTGTGTGCAGTATATGCAACGAAATTTCCGCCTCTAAATACGTATTCAATTAGGCACATCTAACCTTTTAAATATTATTATTATTAATCAGCTCTAGATTGTATTTCTGTGTAGGTTAAATAAAGGGAACGATAAGCAAATTGCTATACAAGTCTCTCATAGTATCACTTTTTCTGTAATACAACATAATCCTTCAGATGTTTATAAACCGAATTTTAAGTGTAAATTTTAACGGTAATAAACATATCGTGATGTATTTGTATTTATTTACATAGTCCTATATATGTATATTTATATCTACAAGTAGAAATGTGCTTTTATCTTTGTAGCATCAGTTTTGTTTTGTTTTTAAAGTGGGGAGTTTTATATGTATTTTTAAAATTGTTTAACTTTTCAGAGCAGTGAGTGGTATTGATTATATTTGGAACGATTTTCGTTTGATAAAGCAATAAGAAGTGATAAAAGATGCTAAGTTTCGGCTAATGTGAGACTGGGGTGAAAATCAGCAGTGCAAAGTGTGTATGTATATATATATAGTATGTCAATTTAATTTACACAAGGTCACGTTTTGGCCTTTAAACTTTGTATTTAGGGGGAAAATAAATGACATGTTATACTAATTTCTTTCAAGTAAATATCCACACACAGAATGTATTGGTGAGAGTATGGGCACGAGCTACAAAGTCATATTCATTAGTGAGGCCTGGTACGTTTAATCATTAAAACCTAACTAAGCAGAAAATGGTTTACAAGTTTTAATAGCACGAAATATAATACATGTATATAAATAATAGCGTTTTACTTCTGGGCAACCAAAAGCTCTGTTTTATGTGCACATATTAAAAAGTCGACATGCAGTTAAGATACCTTAAAAGACTTAAAAGATCATTTGCCGTATTTTTCGGAATATAAGAAACACCCTTATTTTGAAGACAAAGTTTTTGGGAAAAAAAAGCTACAGTCGCATTTGAAAGATTTTTATTGAACAAAAATTCAATTTGATACTTTAAAAATTAGTATATATATTGTTGTAAACACAAAAGATCTCAAAACACCAAATTAAGAAAATACCGTAAATAAAAAAAAAAGGTTTACTGTTATTTAGTTTGGTTCAAACCTACAAAATCTTCATTGCTTTCACTGTAATTTATTTTTGTTCTTATTTACGGAGCATTATAAATAGTTATGTTTTTAAAAGAAAAAGAACTACTATTGTTATAAATAACGCATTCAATTGAACTAAACTATGCATGCCTATTTACATATATTTACACGTGGCTTGTGTATATCGTGAATATACATATATATTATTCATACCTTCGGTGTATAGGACGCAAGCAGATTTTGACATCAAATTTTGGAGTAAAAAAGTGCGTCTTATACACCGAAAAATACGGTATACTTTTAAGCCTTGATTATATTTTGGTTGAGATAATAGATTTGATATAATATTCTCTTTAGAAAGATATTTCTACTCAGTGACCTAGAGATGTAGTGTAATTTTTAACTAAAGTTCCAACTTCGCAATGCTGGCCTGGCATAGCCTGGGGGTTAGGGCGCTGGACTCGCAATCTGAGGGTCGTGGGTTCGAATCCCCGTCACACCGAACATGCTCGCCCTTTCAGCCGTGGGAGCGTTATAGTGTGACAGTCAACCCCATTATTCGTTAGTAAAAGAGTAGCCTAACAGTTGGCGGTGGGTGATGTTGACTAGCTGTCATTACGAATGTCTAGCGCAGATAGCCGTCGTGTAGCTTTGCGCGAAATTCGAAACAAACCTCAATGCTATGTAAAGCTGTGTGTTTCTCTTGAATCCCGTCTTGGATGAACACCATATATGTATGAATCCAGCATGGAAAAAGTTGAAAAACAATTCAACATCTCCATCTACGACACTGGTTTAGTTGGTATTGTACCTTTAGGATAGCCAAACAAATATCTGGTATATGGATTTGGTAGATATTATTACAAATAATCAATGCCAGTGCTTATTTTGTACGTGTTCTATTAGAGTAACGGTCAAGTCCCACTACTCGAATAGAGTATCCCAAAAGCTGGCGGTGGGCCCTGTTGACTAGCTACCTTCTCTCTAGTCTGTTTACAGGATTGTTGTGTGTGTTTTTCTGTTACAAGGCAGTCTAAAGCCGCTATAGGAAACATTTACTGAAAGAATTAGTCCATCATAAACGTGTGACATCACCGCTTCAACTGGCGCACGCCCCATGCTGTCCAAGATCGCTTCTGACCAATCCTCGCAAAGATCGCTCGATCTCTACGACATTTGCTGCGAGAGCACGAGCGCCACTCTGCCGGCACATCCAGAGGTTTCAGTCAATACTGAAGTATCAATGGACGAGGCTACTAGTATGGGAAGGGATGGGAAGTATACGACAAAATACGAAGGGGAGAGAAAGCGAACCGGTTTTCTCTCCCAGAAACACCGTAAATCAAACCTCCCACTATCAGGGAGATGGGCAGTAGTCGCCTACTCTACAGACCGGATGTGAACTATATCACACATTGTTGTATCTACCGCAACTGCTGTACCTAGATATTTAGTATTAAGTCCAATAGCTCTTTTTTTATGTATCGAACAGAAAACTTAGGAATGTGTGATTAAGTATCTAGGTTTTAATTGAAAGCTTCGTATTTTGCAGACTACCATCGGTGGTTGGAGGAATGAGAGGAGGCGGTTGGTAATTCTTGAGGTGGCAACAGGTTGCAATGATCATCGTAAGACCTCGTGCCCGAGCGTTAACTTGTCATTTGTTTTTATCATTTAATTACAAAAAATGTTTTACCGCTGTTCACTGACAATGGCTCTTCGGTCAAGTGTAAGTATCATCTTTTGAACATACTGAAGAAGCATGTGATTTAAATTATTTTACAGTGAAATTACTTTATATTGCTATTCAATAAACGTCTACAAAATGTCCATAAACAATTGTGTAATCTTACTGTCCGACTCGGTAAGATAACTATAAAACGTGGAAGAAATGGAAAGTCGCCCCGATTTTTCCCTCGATAGATCTCGACTTCTGGCCGGAGCGGGACTTAACACTCCCCATGGCTTTCCCGTGGACGCTCCGTCGCCACATCCAACACCTTTACGGACTTCGTTTTCAGATATGAGTCGTGCGGGTACGGCTAACGACCCATCATCTCTTTCAGCATACCACAGCCGATTTCTCCAGGCCTCACTGCCTTTGGGCAACAATGGTAAGTCCTTAAAAGTTAATTACTTAATGCACTTGAATAGATTGTTTATGCTACTTTATTGGCGCTTGTCATATACAATTTTATTAACAATTCTCGGTTTATTTCGATTTGTATTATGTCAAAGCAAGTATGAAATTATATATATATATAAAGTTTTACATTTTACTCCACATAGTTTTTATTTTACTGAGTTAAACCTGAACCGCACTTCTGACTTGTCCGGGTTGAAAATAGCACTTCACTTGCTAACTTTCGAAGACTTTGTCCTTACTTTGTGTAGTACAACTATTGTCTGCGGTCATAATAATGTAAACAATAATATAAAAGTTTGTTTTGCATAAAAAGGCACTTTTCGTTATAAATGCCTAGGTCAGTGTGGTCCATCGGGCGGCTGACGTTATGCGGCCAGTGCATTCATTATGAATCACGTGTTAAATCTATGCATTAAAAATTTGTTCACAAATAAGTTTAATAGGCAAATTCCATTCCAGTAAACCTCGTAAGTAACACTTATAGCTGTTTAATATTTTCCATCCTTTACGTTCCGGCCCATCATAGGTAAAAGACTGAACCACTTTGGTCCTATGTTAAAGATATAACAGAACTGGAATGAAGAAAACGTGAGGCTTGTCTTTATATTAAATTGAAATATGTCTACTTTAGTATATTATTGTAACGAGGTTTGGGGATTTGGAGAACGTTATTATGTCGTTCCCATGTCACAGCAAACAATGCCCCGAACTACCGTTGGGGAATTTTGAATCTGTAACTTAGTGAAATATCCACCGGCATCTCACGGCTATTGTTGTTTATATATAGGCATGATGTCAAGTAACAATGGAGTAACATAGAATTAGTATGTTGGATAAAACGTCATCTCGTGTTTCTTACGCGAAAATAGTCACCCTTATATAAAAATTATAGGGGACATAAAAAAAAACTATATTGTTCAATATTTCTCCCATTTTCTGACGTGAACAAAGTTTAGCTGGTAGAATTCTATACTAGCGGGACAAAATTATGATTTGCAAGAATATCATAGAACATATATGATGCACTTTGACCCGTAATACGTTTGTACTGTGTAAAGTTTAAATATCAGAGGCAGATATTTAGCATATGAAAGGCTTCTACTCTTGAATTTTGTAGTTAGTCCATAACGTCACCTAAATAATCCATTTAGGTTACCAGTAATAAGACTAATAAGAGAAGGCAACATTTACTGATTTGGGACGGACCCCTACATTTGATTGTTGACTATTCAGTTATTTTCAGCCAAATGTTTATTAAAATTGTTTAAAAAAGAAAGAAACTTAGATCTAAAACTGGCGGACTGTGAGTCAAAGGAATGGAAAAGAATTACACCCTTTCATATTTACTAATAGTAACATAGTACTGCAAAACAAAGTAGATTTGTTAATTAGTGTGTTCAAAACAAGGCTAAAACACAAAAATACTACAGCGTTAATGTCTACTGTTCTTAATTTGAAACTAATATATCATTTTTAAATATGTTCTAAGACTGTTTCTTATCTAGATTGTAGTCTGGGGGCGAAACTATAAGACATGGTAATGCACGTTCAGAATATTTGCTTAATTTAAATTTTAATTCATACTAGCTACTATAGGCCTCAGTTAATTATAAGGTTTTTTGGAAAAAAAGTTGAACATTTGAAGAAAATTCTCAGAATCGTCACGGGACTGGTTTGCTTGGTTAAAGTTTCGTTTTGCCAGTTTGGTTAAAATAAAGTATCATTAAAAACCAACAAACAGGGGCCGGTTAAAATACTCGTAGGCAGTGCTTTCCAAACGTTTTTGATGGCGACACACATGTAGTACCAAAAATAATTCTACACCGCTGAGACAAGTATAAACTGGCGCGGGCTCCCCATTTTACCTGCCGCTACACAAGACTGTGTTGGCGAACCTTTTTCGTGTCACGTGCCCAAAAAAGAAATATAAAACATTAGATAATTTTTTACGTGCCACATCGGCGAGCAAATATAAAAATACTTTATATTACTGAATCTCATAACTGTTATAAATAAAAACTTAACAAAACATTTCGTGCAATTTCCGAAATCATGGCGACACCCCTCAGGACACGACATGGCACCCTAATGTGTCGCGACACCCACTTTGGAAAGCACTGCTTTAAGGCCTGTAAAAGGTATAACAATTTGGCGTAATAAAGTTGTGGCATATACTGTGAGTAGACACAGGCCGTCTTCCAAAATATCTTGCTTTCCTCCAAGCAAATTAAAATAAAAACTAAGTATCAAATGCATGCGTTTGTCAGAATAGAACTATTAAGAAGGTAGCTGTTAATAGAATAAAATTACTGCTGACATAAGTAATCTGTATCTTATTTCTTTTAAATATACCACCGATAACCATAACTTACCTCAAGTGTTTATAAATATCATATTGTATTACAAAACCAATTTTACAGTGGGCAATATCTTATTTTAATAATTACAACGTTTCGACCCATAGTATTGAGTTATAATCAGGTAAGAGATTCAAAAAGACGGTCTTTTACACAGTCAGCTGTCTTTTTGAAGGCCCCTAGTGGCACAGCGATATGTCTGCGGACTTCCAACGCTAGAAACCGGGTTTCGATACCCGTAGTGAGCACAGCACAGATAGCCCATTGTGTAGCTTTGTGCTTAACTACAAAAAACAAACAAAAGTATTTTTGAATGTATCTCTTACGTGATTATGACTCGATACTACGAGTCGAAACGTCGTAATTATTAAAATAAGAATTGCCTTCTGTAAATTGTTGATATTTTACTTTGAATTGATTATTCAGTTCAGTAGGCTCCCTGCTGAACATCAATAGACACTTAATACCGTTATTCATCTTAGAAATTATTGCTTTCTTCTGTAGTGATGTGATATTGTACCGATGCAACATTATTTTTACATAAGGAAATAGCCTAGAATGAACTGCAATATATGTGACTAAACCCAAAACCTGACGCCAGCAATTTTCCGGAACTATAAATTTTAATCGTGTTTCTGATACCAGTCAAGCCGCGTCACCCTGACACCACATCGAGCTTGCCTGTTGGCATCAACTTTAAGCAATTAATTAACTAGCCCAATTAATGTATAACAAGCGTATTTTAACTCGGCCAATCTTCATTCTTTAACAGGTATATTAATCATACATATTTATGTATTTTAAGATATTTTTACAAGTTAGGAAAGGATATAACACAGAAATGCTAAGTTCATAACATTTTCTCCATTTATGTCGAGATATAGAGAGCGATGGTAGTGTCATAAAACTGTGCGAACAAAGAACATTTTTACATGCCAGATTCCATCGGTCTTTCTAAAAAACATATAGTGTTCTTATAATGGTACTTTAGTAAAAAAAACAACAACAAAAAATAAGAAAGCAAGGCAATTATCATTACGTACAATTCCAACGAAACGCAAAACAGAATATACAACGAAACGCAAAACAGAATTTATTCGTTTATTTCCATACACCATAAAACTATAAGACTTCTAATTTGCTCAGTTCTGTTCCACTTTGTCCCAGGGTAGGATAGCGGTCAGTTTACGGACTTACAACGCTAAAATCCGGGGTTGGATTCCCCGCGGTGGACATAGCAGTTAGCCTAATGTGGCTTTGCTTTAAGATAAACAAACCGTTCTACTTATTTTTTCCTTTAGTTTTAAAAAACGTATGCACTTTTGAAATCATAATCTAAAAATCGTTTCTAAAACTTAAAAGCTCATAAGCATTGGCTTCCCAGCGGCACAGCGGTATGTCTGCAGAATTACAACGCTAGAATCCGGGTTTCGATACCCGTGGTGGGCAGAGAACAGATAGCCCTTGTGCAGCTTTGGGCTTAATTACAAACAATCAAACAATCATAAGCATTGGTAAAGAGAAAGGCAAATTTGCGTGTTTTAACACGTTTTTTGTATTACTAACGACATTACGCATTACTTTTAAACTGGTCCAGCCATAGCTAGTGATTATCGTGTTCGATTTGTGAATCCCTGGGTTCATGGTTCGCAGTGCCGCATAAAAGCGCTTTGCACCGTGGGCTACAAGATTGTCGTGCAGTTGGAGCGAAAATCTGAAACAAACAAGTCATATATAATAATATTTCGGAGAGAGTGAGAAAAGCGCAGACTCATAAAATACTGATTGAAACTTTATTTTGAAAATTACTCTGACAGTTACATTTAGCGAGTGCAATACTTGGTCATATATTAATTAAATAACCATATGGATAGTTACAGTTTCAAAAGGTTTAAATTCGCTAAAGCTACTTGTTGTTTCTAAATTGGTTTTGTAAGGAACCATTACAGAGAACCTAGAATAGTAGTAATAAACATTCTAGAACTTTCTCTAGAAAAAAAAAAACATGACTGAGGCTCTTGATGAATCTTTTGTTTATTGACTTCAGTTGTTTTTTGAGCTCTGACTAATGACAACAGTTTTTCTTACTGAATTCGTAAATTTGTCTTTGGTAATAAGTTTAAACAATCACAGAATATGTACTGGGTATTAATGTGATAAATGTTACTAGCCCAGGTTATGCTGATTATAGATCAGGTTTCATGCAGTGACGTGTTTGTAGCAGCAGAAGATACTAGCCAATGTTATGCTGATTATAGATCAGGTTTCATGCAGGAAACTTTTTGAGTTTTTAGCATTTTCCACTACCCAATATTTAGCCATATTATTTTGTCAAGCTCTCAAATCAATGAAAAAAAAATATATTAATTTGGATTTACTCATAAAAACTTCTTAAAGACCACGAATTGGTGGTTCTAATTTAATGAAGTAGAAATTGTTTTGCATATTTCGATTGTTTTTTTGTTTTTTTTTTGTTTTTAAAAGCAACAACCAAAACAAAGATAAATGTATTTAGTTTTTACCTATTTTCTTCATTCAAATATGCCATTTATTTTAGTAATTATCGAAGGACCTGTTGGGTTTTTGCATCTGAAATTGAGAAGTTAATACA